ACAGAGCGAGACTCCATCTCAAAAAAGAAAAAAAAAAAAAGAAACATGTTCCTGTATGGTGGCTCACACCTATAATCCCAGCACTTTGGGAGGCTGAGGTGGGTGGATCACTTGAGGTCAGGAGTTTGAGACCAGCCTAGCCAGCATGGTGAAACCCCATCTTTACTGAAAATACAAAAAACTAGCCTGGCGTGGAGGCACATGCCTGTAATCCCAGCTACTTGGGAGGTTGATGCAGGAGAATTGCTTGAACCCAGGAGGCAGAGGTTGCAGCGAGCCAAGAGTGCACCACTGCACTCCAGCCTGGGCGATAGAGTGAGACTCCGTCTCAAAACACAAACAAACAAGAAATCAAAAAAGGAAGTAGACTGGAAAGGAGGTGGATAAGGATAAGGTGAAATTTGATGGCCCAACTTTAGACATTGAGTTTGATGTAAAATAGCAGTTAATATATATTGCTAGCTCAGCAAAAGGAACTAAATCTAGTGGAGGCCCATATCAAGGAAGAGGGAAGAGGAAGTTGAGACAGTCACCAGAAAAGAGGAACCCTAAGCCACTGTCCCATCACTTACTCTAGGGGTCAACAGAGGGAGGGATTCAAGGACAAACGGAATGTTTATGTTGGAGATTGTGCAAACAGGGCAGCAAGTGTGAAGACTAAGAAAAAGATGGAGCCATTAACAGGTCAGTGGTGGGCAGGCATTCATTTTGGAGAATGTGGTTTTATCAAATAGGCAGGGACATGGGAGAAATCCAGTTTCACGGGGTTAGAAAAGCATGGTCAATAAAGACATGGATGGCCAAGCACGGTGGCTTACGTCTGTAATCCCAGCATTTTGGAAGGCTGAGGCGGGCAGATCCTTTGAGGTCAAGAGTTTGAGACCAGCTGATTAATATGGTAAAACCTCGTCTCTACTAAAAATATAAAAAATTAGCCAGGTGTGGTGATGCTGGTATATACCTGTAATCTCAGCTACTTGGGAGGCTAAGGCAGGAGAATCACTTGAACCCGAGAGGCCGAGATTGCACCACTGCACTCCAGCGTGGGTGACAGAACGAGATTCCGTCTCAGAAAAAAAAAAAGAGAGATGGATAAGCTGCTGCTCATCCGGGAAAGTCCAGTATTACGGGAAACAGGATGGCATCTGGAGGGTGACAACATCATAGGGGGAGATTTCAGGTTTTTTCCAAAGCTGGGTGACCCAAGGGTACTGGCAAGCCGAGGGGGAGATGGTCTAAGTGTGAGAGCCAAGGGGACTGTGCCTGGAATTCCGTCCCGAGCCTGTGCCGTAATGCCCGCCCCCTGCCTCCTCCGTCTGCATGCAGTCATCTGGGGACCTGGAGAATGACGAGCAAGCAGCCAGTGCCATCTCTGAGCTGGTCAGCACGGCCTGCGGTTTCCGGCTGCACCACGGCATGAATGTGCCCTTCAAGCGCCTGTCTGGTGAGCCCCTGTCCCTGCCCTTGGTGGTAGTACTGGGAGGAAGGGCCGCTTCCAGAGGCTTCTCTTCTTCCTCCCAGCCTCCCACCATCTCCTCCTGGGGTCTCTGGTCTGGCCACTTTCCTCCCTTTGGGACTCCCCTGTATCAGAATTGTGAATGAGAAGGCAAGAGAAAGGAGATGTAGCAGAGGCCACTCATCTTCAAATCTCTGAGCCTGGAACGATAGAATTTCTTTGGCTTTGATCCCAGCCAATGTGCGTGTGGCCCCGCCCCATGGAGTCTGTTGCACCCACTAACTCTGTGCTCCCTTCCCTCTCCTGGGGCGGGGGAAGGTGTGTCTCTCCTCCAGTGGTCTTTGGAGAACACACGCTGCTGGTGACGGTGTCAGGACAGAGGGTGTTTGTGGTGAAGCGGCAGAACCGAGGTCGGGAGCCCATTGATGTCTGAGCCTGCCGGAGGGCGAGGGTCGGAGAAGCGGATTGGGTCCTGGGCCTCTGTGATGAGGCAGGCACAGCCGTCAGTCTTGGCTTGCTGCTAGAACTAGGGCCTTCTGCTCGCCCACCTCCCACCCCTACCTGGATGGGCCGAAGCTTGGGGACTGTGAGCTGTGTTAAGGAGAACAAGGGCAAGGAGACCTCCCTTTGTGCTCCCTCCCTCCCTCCCTAATAAACATGAGCCTGATGTTCTCTAGCCCAGGGACATGTGTGTTTAGTGTGGGAATGGTTACACCCCATGTCTGTCTTCCACCTTCTGGGGAGAAAGTCATGCACTTTAGCCCAAGTTGGGTGTGGCAGGGGTGCCTCTGTGTGCTATAAAACTGGGAAACAGAAAAAGCTGGAGGGGAAGGGAGTCACTCTGAGCCCTGGCGACTTCTGCTCTTCCCATAAGTACACAAACTAGTCATCCTTCTCCCTCCTGAACAGGCATTTAATAGTCTTATTTCAGTTGGAAGCAATAGTTGGAGAATAAGTTACAGGAACAGACCAAAAAAAAAAAAAAACCACAACAACTTAAAGTGCTTCAGGCTGCAAACGTAAACATGAGGGGCAGGAGGCCACCTGCCTGGCCCTGTCCCCAACCCCTGAGACAGGACGGTCACTGTCAGGGGCCCCTAGCCATCACCACCCTCTAATCTCAGCCCTGCAGGAGGGAGGGAGGGAATGTCAGAGGTGGGAAAGAACTCAAAGGGAATGAGGAAGATACTTTGTAAACTTAGAACCAGGGTAAAGGGCGGGGGGCAAGGGAGCTCTGGAAACCCTTGCCCTGGCCTAGGGGTGGGGCCAGCCCCCCCCACAGGAACTCGGGGAATACTGGTGGCTTAGTCCCAGCCATGCCCGCCCACTTCACAGCTTTTCCCCCGTCCCTGATCAGCAGACACAGACAGGCAGCTCTGCCAGGCCTCTTTACCCCCATCTGGGAGGCATCCCAGGGGAGGCACAGCCCGGGAGCAGGGATCCCCTCTGGGGGCATTGGGTCTCTGGAGTGTAAGAGGGAACAGAGCTGGCACGATGCTACTTGACGGGTTCCACCACCAAGACCTTGCACTCGCGCTTGGCAATCTTGTCCAGAGACAACACAGCCTTGTCCGGGGGCAGGTAGAGGGGGCGGCCAACAGGAGAGGCCACAGGGGGTGTGATGGCCCTGCGCTCCATCACACTGCCCGACCTGGGGGAAGGCAGAGGCTGTGGGCGCTGGTCAGACCCGGCACCCTCCCTGCTCCCAGCCTCTACCCCATCCCATGCCACGCCCCCTGGTTCTGTACCTCATGAGGTGGCTTCGGGAAGGCTGCTGGTGGGAGAAGGACTGGGAGCGGCCCAGGCTAGCCTGATGCCTCTCCACCAAGTCCCGGACAGCAGGGCTGCTGGGGCTGCTCTTGCGGGAGAGAGGCCGGGCCTCGGGTGGAGGGTGGGACACGCTGGCGGTGAACTGCAGCTTCAGTTTCATGTGCTGGCTTAGCTGGGGGGAGACGCAGGTCAGCATGCCAGCTCGGCTTCCAGGGCCCAGGCCTCCTTCCAAATGGTCTTCCCCACGTGACAGACTGATGTCAAATCTAAATCCCACCTTCCCTCTACCCAGCTTTTTATTTCATCCCTAAAATCTAAGGGTCCTGCCTCCATCCACCCCAGCATTCTGCATCACTCAGCACTCAGCTCAGACCCTCCCCAGCCCACCTCGAAGAGTCCCGTCCTCAGAGCCTGGAAGGCCACACTGAAGGTGAGAGCGCTGCCCTTCCGGGAAAAGCCGAGGTTGTTAAGGGGCGTGTGGCAGACGATGGAGTCCAGGGCAGCCTGCATGGCCCGGCGCTCCTCCTCACACAGCTGCTTTCCTGGGGGCAGAAACAGGGACCAGCAAACACTACAGCGTTCCTCATTCCCACAGGGCCTTCGCCAGCACATCTGATTCTCAAAGCCACTCTGTGGAGTAAACTGAGCAAACGTTATCTTTTGTGCATGTTGTAGATAACAACGGCTAATACTTACTGTGTGCAAGGCATGTCATGTATATTAACTCAGTATCTGCATGACAACCCCATGAGATATGAGTTGCTGCATTTTAGAGGTGAGGACTCTGAGGCCCAGAGAGGTTAAGTAACTTATTCAAGGTCACACAGCTAGTAAAAGAGAGAAGTAGAGTTCACACCAGCAAGTGCAGCTCCAGTGTCTATGCCCTGAAAGTCACTCTGCCCCACTGCCTCTCTAAACTCTCCATCTAGGACACTGGGGAGATGACCCAGGTACAGGGCGGAAGCCACCTGCCACAAGTCACCTCCTGTGGTGGGGCTGGCACCAAGTTTGGCTGTTATCACTGTCCGGCCTCCCTGACTTTTTCCTTTCTTTTCTCCTCCCTGGGGATCAGATCCCCACCTGGCAGCTGACCTACCAGCCTGTGCATGCTCTGGGGTCCACACGAGCCTCACAGCAAGGAAGTCTTGGAGATTGTTGAGCAAAGTGTAGGTGACAGTGAATCGCTCGTAGGTCCGAACAGGGGACTCACAAGAAGCGGTCATCACGAAACACGGGCGGTCCAGGCGGACACTGGGCAGGCTAGGAGTGGTGAGAGAGGGATGCTGGCTGTGTGTGTTAAGCCACAAAGGCGAATGCCACAGTTCCTCCAGGATCCACACTCACCGGTAGTGGGTGTAGATGCTCTGAGTGAAGGGCAGCTTTGGGGTGGACCACTGAACCACAGCAATCAGGGGAACTTCCAGGCCCTGCGGGAGGGACAAAGGGGGTTGGGGCAGGTATTAAGAGTACCCCTCCCATCTTGAGTCGGCTGCATGGTCTTTCCCTCCCACTGCCTTATCACTTTTCTTTGAACACACCAGCCCCTTATGCTCACCTCCTTGGCCCCTGGAGGGGGCTGCTCACCCCCTCGCAGCTGAAACAGGAAGTTGTGTTCCTCCAGGGCATTCAGTGGGCAGGGGAAGCAGCCAGAGGTCCCAGGTAGGCGGCAGAAGGAGCCCATGGAGACTTCCCCAGACTGGTGACTAGCTCAGAAAAGAGAACAAGGCATGGTCTCCCCATGCCAGAGCTCAGTCCCTGAAGCCATCCCCACCACTTCACAGCCTCACCCCTCCCAGGACCTCACCAGACATTGTCCACCAGCAGCACAGAGCCATCGGGCATGACAGGTAGATAACTGGCGTTGAAGTTGGGGAGGATTCGGATATCCCAGATGGAGATTTCCTCCTGAGAGGAGCTGTTCAGCACTGTGGGAGAGGACCAGCTTGGCTCAGAATAGCTGGACCCCTCAGGCCCCATCTTTACCCAGAAAAAACCGGACCCCACCAGCCTGCCCAGAGGAACTGCATCCAATCAGTTCCCTTGCTGCTCCCCGAGGCTGGAGCTGGCAGACCTGCTTACCCTTGAGCACGGTCAAGTGTTTTCCAGCCACAGTGAACTGCCGGCATCTCAGAACCGGAGGGGGCAGCAGAGTCAGCAGCGTGCTCACTGCGGGAGGGGTTGGGGGCAAGAAGTGATGGTCTGGGGGCTGACCTCACCTCCAACCCAGAATTCTCACCTTCCTCTTCTCAGAGCCCATTAGCCACTTTCCAGTGTGACCCCTCCCCTCTCTCCCTCAATTCCGAGAGACTCTAGCCCTTCGCCTCTTCGGTGTCCTGCCCACCTTGGGCCTTGAAAGCGCTCTGCTCGCCCCGGAATGTCTCCCCAGGAGATCGGGTCTGCAGCAATCGCAGGTAGCCTTGATCTCTGACCTCTGGTGCCTCAACCTCCCGCTTCCACACAGTCACTACAATCTGTCAAGAGGAAAGACAGATGGCTGAGCCCGGAAAAGGTGTCTTAATTAGGACAACAGCTCCACTCCTTGCTCATCTTACCTTGGCCTTAGGTGTCCCTGGGGGCAGTCTATCCAGTGAAACGGTGAGTGGGAAGATGACCTCATCTGTGGAAACAATCGGTTCCTCCACAGGCAGCTGGGGTTGGGAAAGGGGTGAAGAGGTCAGGAGCAAGTCAGAGGCAGCCTGCAGCCTTTCCCTTTAAGACCAGCAGGTCATCTGCCTCCTGCCTTACGCCCCCAGCAAACCCCCTCCGCCCTGTGCCGGGTCCCCCAAAGCTCCTCACCGTGGTCGCTCCCCCTGAGGTAGCAGGGCCCGGGCCGTGGGTGAGAAGGGGGCTGCAGCCTCGGAACAAACCCCCACCCCCAGGATCCCCTCCCCCTGGGGGCTCCGAATCCTGGTCGCCGGCACCGCCGCCACCCGGCATCCCGCCTCCGGCGCTGACCGAGGCCAGGGCGGCCAGGGCGGTTGCCAGTTCTGCCCAGGCTCCTCTGGAGCCCAAGCCCGGGCTGCCCCCGGCGCCGGACCCCGCACCGCCCCGGCAGCGCAACACCAGCAGAAACCGGACAGTCTCCCCCAAGTACAGATGGTTGCGCCGGGGCAGCGCCCGGTACCGGCCCGGGTCCCCGGCCAGCTCCGCGCGCGGCGGCAGCGGCACGGCCGGGAAGTACATCGAATAGTCGCACTGGGACTCCATGGGGCGGCGAGGACGGCGCGACCGGGAGCCCGGACCGGAGGCCGACCCCCAGCGGGGCCCTCTAGGGTAGGTCCAGAGGGTCCCGACACCTCGGGCTGCTGCGCGCGGCTGGGGCGGCCCGAGAGACCGGCCCGGTCCCGGCACCAGGGCAACAAATCCGGAACCGAGACCCGGCGGCGCCGGAACCGGGGTACTGAGCCGAATGACTGGAGAGAAACCGGAAGCGGAAGGGAGGGGGCGTGGCCGCCGTGGCCCCGGAATCTGCGGGTGCCCGGACCGTGGAGGAGGGGGCGGGGTCCCGCTGCTCTGAGGCTGAGAGAATGCAGGCCGGGGCTGCGGCCAGGCGTCTTGGAAAAGAAATGTAAGAACCCTGTCAGCCAGGCGTGTTGGCTCACGCCAGTAATCCCAGCACTGTGGGAGGCCGAGGCGGGAGGATTGCTTGAGGCCTGGAGTTCAAGACCTCCCTGGCCAACATAGCAAGACCTCCTCTCTGCAAAAACTTTAAATAAATTGTCCGGGTGCGGTGGCGCGCGCCTGTACTCCCAGCTACTTAGAAGGCCTAGGCAGGAGGATCCTTTGAGCCCAGAAGTTTGAGGCTGAAGTGAGCTATGATTGGGACACTGGTGCAGCCTGGATGACAGAGTGAGATCTTGTCTCAAAAAATGAATAAATAAATAAATAAATAAATAAATAAATAAACTAACTTTCCAACCCCACTTCTTCCAGGAAGATTCTCCATCCCTCCCCTTTCCATCCTCCATAAATCAAGAAGAAGTTTCAAATTATTTATTCATTCAACAAATATTTCAGAGAGAAATGAACAGTCTAGTAGCAAATATTTCATAGAGAAATGGATGTATCATTCCAACTCACCACGCCCCAAACTTTCTGTGGCTCACTCCATCTTTTGCCCACCTAGGGAGCTTTGGTGATGTGGATCTGCCTTGGGGCAAGAAAGGGGAAGGGGAAGCCAGGCGTAGTGGCTCACGCCTATAATGGCAGAACTTTGGGAGGCAGAGGCGTGTGGATCATCTGAGGTGAGGAGTTCAAGACCAGCCTGACCAACATGTTGAAACCCTGTCTCTACTAAAAATATAAAAATTAGGCCGGGTGCAGTGGCTCACTCCTGTAATCCCAGCACTTTGGGAGGCTGAGGCGGACAGATCACAAGGTCAGGAGTTCGAGACCAGCCTGGCCAGCATGGTGAAACCCCATCTCTACTAAAAATTAAAAAATTAGCCGGGCATGGTGGTGCACACCTGTAGTCCCAGCTACTTAGGAGGCTGAGGCAGGAGAATCACTTGAACCCGGGAGGCGGAGGTTGCAGTAAGTCAAGATGGCGCCATTGCACTCCAGCCAGGCAACAGAGCAAGACTCTGTCTCAAAAAAACAAAACAAAACAAAAAAAACATTAGCTGGGTATGGTGGCACACGTCTGTAATCCTAGCTACTCTGGATGCTGAGGCAGGAGAATCGCTTGAACCCGTAAGGCAGAGGTTTCGGTGAGCCGAGATCATGCCACTGCACTCCAGCCTGGGGGACAGAGTGAGACTCTATCTCAAAAAAAAATTAAAAAAAAAAGAAAAATTGGGGAGAAAGAACAAAATGAGTAGAGGGTGAAGGAGGAAAGCACTGTTGGGAGTCCAGCAAAGAGGACGCTTGCATCAGGACAAAGACTCATCCCTTCTGGGAGATGCAGAAGTGGCATCTTGCTGCCCCCCACTCATCACATGTGCCCTTCAAACATGGCTGCTCTTCCACCTAAATCTGTAGTCTGATGTCTATGGGGAGAGTGGCCTTGAAGTCTTGAGAGGCAGTGAGACGGTAGGGGGGAACTGCTTGGCATCCAGCTTGTCCTTATACTGGAGCTCAGGGGTAGCCAAGCGCTCACACTCCTCTTGGTCCTGAGGGCTCAATCCACTCCGAAGTATATAGCCCAAAACCTTAGCTGACCCAAACTGGAAGGGGCGGAACCGGCGATCAGTGATGTATTTGGGGTCAGAAGCCTCACCCCCTGCCAGACAATGTTTGGCTAGGGCCTCTCGGCGAGCCCGGAGCTCGGCTACAGCTGTCTGCAGCCGGCGCTGGCCGTATTTCTCTATCCGTGCCCAGAGACTGCGGTTGAAGTGGACGTAGAGAGCCCAGTCCAGGTTGTTCCAGGCTCGGGCCCGTGCAGTTAGCTGTTGGTCCTCTGCAGTCAGTCCAGTGTTGCTGAAAGTGCTGAGGTCCTGCTTACGTCCAGCCTGGGCATTGTGCATGAAGCCCACCACGTCATCTAGACCCCAGCACAGGGCATCTGCCAGCAGAACCAATGACTCATCGAAGTACTCAGCCACCATGACCAGGTCAAAGACAGAGTCCAGCCAGGTCAGACCCCACTGGATGAAGGATGAAGACCCCAAATCGAAAGAGGCAGGGCTTGATATCTGGCTGCGATGATCAGCAACAGTGGAAACAGGATGGATGAGGGCATTGGGATTGAGGGTTTGGGCTCGAGGGCCAGCACCAGAAGGCAAGACCTGAAGCTGTCGGGGGTCGGGGTCTCTGGGGGGATGAAGATTCCCTCTCTTGGCCCTCTTCTCCGGGGGAAAGGGCAGGCCAAAGTCAAACCATAGTAAGTTGCGAGCGTAGTGGTCCCCACGGGCCCCAGGCCTGTAGAAGGCTCGAGGATTGGCCAGGAAGGCAGCCAAGGATGGTGACTTGCGGAAGGCTGATGAGGTGGATTTATAATAGGAGAAGGCAGAGCGAGCCAGAGCCGCTGGGTCTCGGACAATGGAAAAAAAGAAGCTGTCAGAAGGCATGACCTGAAGTACCTGCAGAGGAGGGAAGACAGAAGAGAGAGAATTGGGCTGGGGAGAAGGTATGCATAAGTATGCACAAGCCATGTGTCCACTGACCTGGCCTTCTCAAACTTCCTTTTCCCAGCCCTGCTAGGAATACCCAGCTTCCATCACTTGTTGCGTGACAAGTTACTTAACATCCCTGAGACTCAATTTGCTTATCTGCAAAATGAGGATAATCATACTTTCCCAAGAGATTATGAAAGATACATGAGATGAAACATACGAAGAAACCTGGAGGATGGAGCCAGGCATGTTTTGTGTGCCTGTCGACGCAGCTACTCGGGAGGCTGAGGCAGGAGTATGGCTTGAGCATTGCTATGTTGCCGAGGCCAGCCTGGACAACATAGCGAGACCCTGCCTCTACAAAAATAAAACTAAAAAAATTAGCAGGGCAATCAATGATAGACTGGATAAAGAAAATGTGGCACATATACACCATGGAATACTATCCAGCCATAAAAAAGAATGAGATAATGTCATTTACAGGTGTATGGATGAAGCTGGAAGCCATCATCGTGCTCAGCAAACTAACCTACTCCAGCAAACTAACACAGGAACAGAAAACCAAACACCACGTGTTCTCACTCGTAAGTAAGTGGGAGTTGAACAGTGAGAACACATGGACACAGGGAGGGGAACAACACAAACTGGGGCCTGTCGGGGTGGGGAGCAAGGGGAAGGAGAGCATTCAGACGAATACCTAATGCATGCAGGGCTTAAAACCTAGATGACGGGTTGATCAGTGCAGCAAACCACCTTGGCACATGTGTACCTATGTAACAAACCTATGTGCTCTGCACATATATCTCAGAACTTAAAGTAAAATAAAAATAAATTAGCAGGGTATCCTGGCACACACCTGTAGTCCCAGCTACTTAAGAGGCTGAGGTGGTAGGATGGCTTGAGTTCAGGAGCTCAAGACAAGCCTGAACAACATAGCAAGACTCTGCCTTGAAAGAAAGGGGCCGGGTGCAGTGACTCACACCTGTAATCTCAGCAGTTTGGGAGGCTGAGGCAAGTGGATCACAAGGTCAAGAGTTCAAGACCAGCCTGGCCAAGATGGTGAAATCTCCGTCTCTACTAAAACTACAAAAAATTAGCCGGGCACGGTGGCAGGTGCCTGTAATCCCAGCTACTCGGGAGGCTGAGGTAGGAGAATTGCTTGAAGCTGGGTGGCAGAGGTTGCAGTGAGCCGAGATCGCGCCACTGCACTCCAGCCTGGGCAACAAAGTGAGACTCTGTCTCAAAAAAAAGAAAGAGAGCCAGAGCAAGAGGGGGAAGGAGGGAAGGGAAGAGGAGGGGAGGGGAGGGGAGTAAAGGGAGGGGAAGGGGAGGGGAGGGGCTTGTCAGGGGATGGGGGCAAAGGAAGAGAGAGCATTAGGATGGATGCCTAATGCATGCAGGGCTTAAAACCTAGATGACGGGTTGATAGGTGCAGCAAACCACCATGGCACATGTATACCTATGTAACAAACTTGCATATTCTGCACATGTATCCCAGAACTTAAAAATTAGCCAGGCACTAATTTTTAAGGGGAGGGGAGGGGAGGGAAAGGAAGGGAAAAAAGAAAAAGAAAAAAGAGAAAGAAGGGAGGGAAGGAAACCTGGAGGATAGGAAACTCCTGGAGAACATTAATTTCCTCGGGCATTTCTGTCTGCCTTAGTCAGTAAAACCTCTAGAAACCAACCTTTGTACTCATTTCTCCAGCAAAAACCTGTTGAGTGCCTGGGAGAGGCATCACTGGCAGCAAAGGGGCAACTATAATGCCATCTCAGGCATAGGCAGCAGGTGGGCAGGCCAGGCCCAGAATCACTGAGGGGTAAAGCACTTCAGGGACTCCTGGGCATCCCAGAGGGCAAAAGACACCCTGGGCCGGGGCACTGGGAAGCCACCGCTGCCTGGTAGGATGCTGCCCTGAGGGCTGGGACATGTGATTCCACCATTCTGCAAGAAGGAAGGTGGAAATCAGGCTGCACCATACCCTAACATGGCCCTGCAGGCTGATGCAGGTCAGAACCTAGCTCCTGATCTCCTTAAAGGGTTTCTGCCTCCAAAAATGACTTCCATCATTGAATCTGACTTCTGTCATGGTGTTCCTCAATCGGCTCTGCAAATATGGCACACCTGAATAGCAGCCTGTGAATGCTCTTTTTTTTTGGGGGGGGGGACAGGAAATTAGTATTTTTCAAATAAAACTTTTCAGTGTTTATTTTCTTCTTATTCTTATTCTTCTTACTTTTTTGAGACGGCGTCTCACTCTGTCGCCCAAGGTGGAGTGCAGTGGAGCGATCTCGGCTCACTGCAAGCTCCGCCTCCAGGGTTCATGCCATTCTCCTGCTTCAGCCTCCTGAGTAGCTGGGACTACAGGCACCTGCCACCATGCCCGGCTAATTTTTTGTATTTTGTTTAGTAGAGACGGGGTTTCACTGTGTTGACCAGGATGGTCTCGATCTCCTGTCGTCGTGAACCGCCCTCCTTGGCCTCCCAAAGTTCTGGGATTACAGGCGTGAGCCACCACGCCCGGCCTCTTATTATTTTTTAAGAGACAGTGTTTTCTTGCTCTGTCACCTAGGCGGCATATCATAGCTCACTGCAGCCTTGAAAACTCCTGGGCTCAAGGGATTCCCCAGACTCAGCCTCTGAGTAGCTGGGACTACAGGCACACACCAATATACCCTGCTAATTCTTAATTTTTTTTGTAGGGATGGGGTCTTGCTATGTTGCCCAGATTGGCCTCGAACTCCTGGGCTGAAGTAATCCTCCCACCTTAGCATGCAAAAGCACTCGGATCACAGGCATGCGCCACCATGCCTGGCCCTGCAGGTCTCTTTGAAGGCAGAGGGGAAAGTGAAGAAAACAGTCTTTGGCATCTGGACCTGGAATAAAATCCCACTCTGCCATTTACTAATTCTGTGACTTTGGGAGGGTTATCGAAGGTTTCAGAGCCACCATTCCTCCATCTAGAAATCGGAGTAACTGGGTAACACTTACCTGGAAGAATGTGCAAGTGTCTGGAACATGGTAGATATTCAGTGAATGGTGGTGTCAATGAAGGCCATCATCCTAGCCTCTGGAGAAACCTACCTCAAAGGTCACTGTCATTGCCTCACTCCTGCCAGTGGCCTTTCGCTGCCCATTAGAGCATGCCCATGTCCTCAGCTGGTGTCTCCAGCTCCAGCTTCAACAAGGGTGACTTTGCAGACCCTGCAGAACTTCCACCCCAGTACAGACGTTCTCCCTTTTATATGCACATACACACATGCACCCCACCATGTCCTTGCTGGTGTTTTGCTCCCTCTAAGAATGCCTCATGCTGTCCTTACCACAAGCCACATCCACCTTTTCCTTTAAAACCCCCTACTCTCGGCTGGGCACAGTGGCTCACACCTGGAATCCTAGCACTTTGGGAGGCCGAGGCAGGCGGATCATTTGAGGTCAGGAGTTTGAGACCAGCCTGGTCAACATGGTGAAACTCCATCCCTACTAAAAGTACAAAAATTAGCCAGGCGTGGTGGCAGGTGCCTGTAGTCCCAGCTACTTGGGAGGCACGAGAATTGCTTGAACCCGGGAGGCACAGGTTGTAGTGAGCTGAGGTGGCACCACTGCACTCCAACCTGGGGAAAAGAGCAAGACTCTGTCTCAAAATAAATAAATGACATCAAAATTAAATAATAAAGTAAAATAAACCCCCCTCTCCAGAAAGCCTCACCTCTTTGGTGAATACTCTTCTCACCATTCCAGATACAAACGCACGCACAAGCCTCGGAAGGAGCCTTGACTTTGGAGTGCATGGACCTGGGCTCAACTTCCAGCTCTGCCACTTTCATTTTCAATTTTATTTATTTATTTATCTTTCTTTCCTTTTTTTTTTTCTTTTGTGAAACGGAGTCCCACTCTGTTGCCCAGGCTGGAGCACAGTGGCACGATCTCAGCTCACTGAAACCTCTACCTCCCAGGTTCAAGCAATTCTCCTGCTTCAGCCTCCCGAGTAGCTTGGATTACAGGCATGCACCACTACACCTGGCAAATTTTTGCATTTTTAATAGAGACAGGGTTCACCATGTTGGCCAGGCTGGTCTCGAACTTCTGACCTCAGGTGATCTGCCCACTTTGGTCTACCAAAGTGCTGGGATTACGGGTGTGAGCCACTGTGCCCAGCCTATTTATTTATTCATCTTTCAAGACAGGGTCTTATTCTGCCACCAGGTTGGTGTACAGTGGCATGATCTTGGCTCACTGCAGCCTCGACTCCCTTGGCTCAAGTGGTCCTCCCATTTCAGCCTCCTGAGTAGCTGGGACTTCAGGCATGCACCACTGCCCTTAGCTATTTTTATTTATGTTTATCTTTTTGTAGAGACGGAGTCTGCTATGTTGCCCAGGCTACTTTTGAACTCCTGGGCTCAAGTGATTCTCCTGCCTCAGTCTCCCAAAGTGTGAAGATCACAGACGTGAGCCACCATGCCTGGCCTTAATCTTTATGTTTTTAGCAATAGGATCTTGCTTTGTCACCCAGGTTGGTGTGCAGTTGCACAATCATAGCTCACTGCAGCCTCCAACTCCTGGGCTCAAGCAATCCTCCTGCTTCAGCCTCCTGAGTAGCTGAGACTACAGGCATGCATTACCACACCTGCCTGATGTTTTAAATTTTTTGTACAGGTGGGGTCTCGCTATATTGGGCAGGCTGGTCTCAAACTGCTGGGTTCAAGTGATTCTCCGCCTCAGCCTTCTAAAGTGCTGGGATTATAAGTGTGAGCCACTGTGGCTACTGGGTGCCATTTTCTAACTGTGAAAGTCTCTTCACCTCCCTGAGACTCGAACTCCACATATGTGTAATGGAGACACTTAAAATGCCTTCTTGGCAAGGTGATGGGAAGATTAGTACTCAGCATTGGTAAATATTCAGTTTAGTTTCTTCCCCGTATGTTTCAATTACACATTGATTTTCTTCCTATAGAAGCCCTCAGCTTCCTGTGTGTGTCTGAGTATGTGAATGTGTATGTTCTTCTCTCCCCCATTAGAATAGAAGTTCCTGGAGGTCAGGACTGGGCTTCCACCCCGCTATTCTCAGCTGACCTCACGTGATCTGCCCATGTTGGTTTCCCAAAGTGCTGGGCTTAGCCCCAGGCTAAACGTACAGCTGATCCTCAAAATGTGGCAGACATGGTGAGGAGGTTGAAGAAGACAAGTCAGAAGGCAGTGGGGGAGCTGGGGCCCTGGTGTGACAGTGGAAGGGAGGCTAAGAAAGGGAAGGGGCGTGTTGTCCTAGGTACTTGCGAGGCTGAGGTGGGAGGATTGTTTGAGGCCAGCCTGGGCAACATAGTGAGACCCCATCTCTACAAAAAATTAAAAAAAATTAGCCAGGTGTGGTGGCGTGCACCTGTAGTCGCAGCTAGTTGGGAGGCTGAGGTAAAAGGATCGCTTGAGCCCAGGAGTTTGAAGTTGCGGTGAGCTATAATTGCACCACTGCATTCTAGCCTGGATGACAGAGTGAGACCCTGTCTCTCTCTCTCTCTCTCTCTCTCTCACACACACACACACACACACACACACACACACATATACACACAGAGGCTGGGCAAGCTCACTTCTGTAATCCCAACCCTTTGGGAGGCCAAGGTGAGCAGATGGCTTGAGCCCAGGAGTATTTATTTATTTATTTAAGCCCAGGAGTTTGAGATCAGTCTGGGCAACATAGCAAGACCCCATCTCTACAAAAAAATTAGAAAGTAGCCATGTGTAGTGGCACATGCCTTAGCCCTAGCTACTCAGGAGGCTGAGGTGGGAGGATCCCTTGAGCCTGGGAAGTCAAGAGCTATGATTGTGCCCCTGTACTCCAGCCTGGGCGACAGAGCAAGACCCTGTCTTCCAAGAAATAAAAAAAAAAAGAAGGGTAAGGGGCACCTGGAGGGAGAGTTGGAGGCTCAGAATTGGCAGGGCACTGATGCCAGGGAAATACATTGGTGAAAGACAGAGACTGTAGTAAGCGCCAGAGAGAGAAGGGAGAGAGGAGGACTTGGGCTCCCAGAAACTTCGGGGGAAGGGACACCTGTAGAGAGGATGGCAGGGAGCCCCACCTTTATGGCCCCCGTGTCCAACTTTAGGGTGAGATGATGCCTGGGGAGCCCTCAAGTCTGGGCCCCCTCCCTTGGTGGTGTCAGCCTGAGCCCATCTCTTGCTGGTCCCTCCCACCCCTGTGACACTCCTTACCTCTTTCAGGTTGAACCTCATGTGGTGACAGAGGATGTGGAAGGGGAGCTGGGTGCCTCCAGTCTGGGGGCGGTAGCCTTTTACCCTTGAGGCCTGGAAGAGCCTTGGGTAGCCAAACTGGTAGCGGGCAGGGAGGGCGAAGCGCAGCCCGTGCCGGTCCCCGTAGCGGTGAAGCAGGCTCAGCACAGAGCTGCTCCCAGATTTATGCGTCTTCAGGAACACCAGTCGCTGCCGGGGTGGGCAGGACGGAAGGGCTGGTCGTAGAGATGGGGCCAAGGGCTGTCGGAGCTGTGGCCCTGGTAGCCTGGGAAGAGATGCAGGGGGAGTGTCCTGTCCCTCAGCAGCAAATGGGTGGAAGGGACAGAGGGCATGGAGGCTTCTGAGTCCTTAAGAGTCACCAGCCCCAGGCGGGATGGGGAAGAGCAAGTGTGGGGCATCTAGAAGGAGCTGGGGCAAAGTGGGAACTTACCTCCTCTGGAAGGGCCCTCCCAAGAGCTGGAGTGCAAAGCCAATGGTCATGAAGACTCCCAGAGCCACCCCCAGGCTCCGAGGTCCCCAGAGCCGCAGCGTCCTGGCAGGAGACAGAGGGCCCATGTGGCACAGGGAAGGGTGAGATGAGAGAGGGATGGAGCCAGGGCCAGGAACAGGGGCAGAGACAGCTGGAGAAAGCCGTGCAGCCGCGGAAGGCGCCGGTTGCAGATCGGGGGGTCATTCCCCAGGCCTGTTTGCAGTCTTGGTTGAGTCTGCCCCCTGAGTTAGCAGATTTTTGCCTCTGTCAGCGTCTAGGAGGGAAATGAGGGGGGAAGAAGGGAAGTCTAAGGAGAGAGGCAGAGTGAACCTTCTCTCCTGCTGCAGCTGAGACCTGATTCAGGGAAGGGGAGTGGCTGGGAATGTGGTCTACACCCAGACTGTCCTAGGTGGCCCCACAACTACTCCCTCCGCTCTATCACTGTCTTATCTCCAATTCCCCCAGCTCCCCGCCTACAGTTGTCCCTGAGCCTCGGGGACTTAGAAGGGAAGGAGAGAAAAAGCCCCAGCTCATGAATGAAACAGCCAGCAAGAGAGAGATCAGACCAATCAGCTCATTAAGACAGTCAGGTCAGACTATGGTCGGGACCCTGGCTTCCTCCTGAGCCCCTCTGGGTGTCACAGATGGGGATGAAGAGCCCTATCCCAGGGCCAGGAAGGGAAGCCATACAGTGGGAATGAGGATCAGACAGGACACAGGTGGATGAACCCAGGCAGGAGGAAGGGAGGTTGGACTTCCAGGAGTGGCATTGCAATGGGCAAGAGCCACTGTGTTCTAAATTCCCGCACCTCTTTTTCCTCTGTCTCAGCACGGGGCAGACCCCCACGTGTGACAGGGGCTGGGGGAGACGTGTGGCTACTTGTGAAGCCCAGATTCCTGGACTTAACCCTCCATGCCACTTTCCAACCTTATCAGTGCACCCGGAGGAGACTGAAAGGGTGGGGCTGGAGAGGGAGACAGAGATAGAGAGAGAGAGAGAGAGAGAGACAGACAGACACAGAGAGACAGAGAGACTATGACACAAAGATATGGAGAAAGGCACAAATACTAACTGTAGAGTTCCTTCTCAAGCCCGAGCTTCCTAATCAACCAGGAGTCCAGCCCCGCCCCTTCAGATTACAACTCACGATCAAGGACCACAGCCCCCTCCAACAAGCCCCGACAGCTCCCTGCTCCGATGAGCCAGGGGTAACCCCAGGCAGAGAGAAGCCACAGTTTTACTCCCGGAGACCCACCCCCTCTGGCATCACTCCCCAATTTCCTCCCCGATCACAGCCTCTGGGGTCCAGCTGCGTCTCCCCTACCCAGAGCCCTTCATTTCCTTCCATCCATCTCTCCCTTCCCATGATTGGAGATCCCAGCACTCTGTCCCCTCCAGCTTTGGTGACTGCCCAGTCAGTTGCCCCTGTCGGGGTCCCATGAACCCCTCATGTCTCCTCCCATAAATTAGAAGGTCCCTCCACTGGTCCTATCCTTGGTTTCACTTCCCACTCACCAGGCCACAAGGGGAGCAGCAAGGGAAATCAGGCCGGGCCCTCCCGCCCTCCCCAGCCACCGCCCGACTCTTGGCTCAGCTCAACTTTCCCCAAGAACTTTCTCAGCGCCCAGGCTCCTCCCTCCTCCCTTTGTCCCGCCAGCCCCAGCAGCTGCTGTAGCTTTGATCGCAGTTCTAGGTCTCTCCCCCGCTGCATCTTCCCTTCTCCGGCAGGGCACCCAGACTCCCCTTGGAAGACACCACTTCCACCCCCCTTTCACACTTGGGAATCAATCCTACCATTTTCTCTTGGCTTGCCGCAGAACAAAAGATTCATTCAGGCGGCAGAAAGAAAGAAGGAAGGAAGGAGAAAGTGATATTTGAAAGCAGACATTGTCAAAGATGTGGCAAGGTAGCCAGAGACTGATGCTCAGAGAACAAGGCCTCCCATCCTGAAGGCAGGGGACAGTGGTGTGGTCACCTTAATAATGCCTCGTGGCCGGGCGTGGTGGCTCACGCCTGTAATCCCAGCACTTTGGGAGGCCGAGGCTGGCGGATTGCTTGAGGTCAGGAGTTCGAGATCAGCCTGGCCAACATGGTGAAACCCCGTCTCCACTAAAAATATAAAAACTAGCTGGGTGTGGTGGCAGGCGCCTGTAATCCCAGCTACTCAGGAGGCTGAGGCAGGAGAATCATTTGAACTGGGGAGGAGGAGGGAGGTTGCAGTGAACCGAGATTGCACCATTGCACTCCACCCTCACGACAACAGTGAGACTCCATCTCAAAAAAAAAAAAAAAAAAAAAAGCCTCATGTTCAAAGAGCATTTTGCAGGTGACAAGGTGCTTTTTCACACAGATTCTATTTGGTCCCCACAATTCTCCCTGTTGTACAAACGAAGATACTCAGAGGCCCAGAGGGTGGGAGATCAGGGGTTATTCCCTAGACCCGCCTCCTGGGGGACAGGTGCCAAGGGAGGTGAAAAGCTGGCAGAAAATGAGCCAGTCAGAGAGGCTCTGAGACCTCTGCTGGGAGCCAGGGCTCAGGCACTGACGGTGACAGCACAGAAGCCACACATCGGGTCCAATACATTACCATTTATTTACAGAATAAACACAGACTTGAACACTGAAACATGGAATTTGTGAAGGATGTGGGTGGCAGAGGTCACGAGATGAGCACCCCCCCACGTTGTCTTTTTTAAATTTTGGTTTAAGAAATTGATACTGAAAAACCTCAACAGAACCCAGGCCCATGAAGCCTCACATCCTACTCAAGCACCCCCAGTCCCCTGCCCCACACCCTGTCAGCATCCAGCTTTGTCCATTTCTGAGACCAGATGCCCCCACCCCTCCCGACTTCCAACTTCCTTCAAACCCCTTCCCCAGCTGCAACTCTAAACTCCTCACTTTCTCTGTTGGGGCTGATCACCAGCCCCAGCCTTAGAGGGCTGGAGATTATACCCTCTAAGGAAACCACACAGCCTCCTAAATAAATACCCCAGGCCCCCCTCCCATTACCAAATGAAAAAATAAATATTGTGAACACCCACCCACCTCTGATGAAAATCTCCTGGATTTGGGGCCCCAGCCATTCACCTGCAAAGTCCCTTCTCTACCTTCTCTGCAGCCCCCTTTGACTCCTCCCCAGGCCCAGCTGAGGGGGGAGGAGGGGAAAGGGCCATGAACCCTTCTGATGCTAGGGCACCCCTCCCCTGTTATCGAGGTCCAAGCAGGGCCAGGGCTGAGACGGAGAGAATGAAGATGGTTTGGGTGTGAAAACCAATAGATGCCCCCCCACTCCTGCTCCGGCCCTGGTTGTAGCGGGCACTGCCACCTCCTCCTTTGCCCCCAGAACCATCCCTTCTAGGAGGGTATGGAGGACGAGGAGGCCGGGCTGGGGGAGCCACAGCCCCAGCCATCCAGTCATCTGCATACTGCTGTCCCCCTCCAGAGCCGCTGGCATCCTCATCTGCAAGGAAGAAGAGGGACAGAGACAGGATGGGAGGGAGAGGCAGAGGGAGACAGAGGGAGAAAAAGAAATTGAGATAAAAACAGAAAGAGAGAGGCAGGGGAGGGAGACACAGGTGGATGCCGGGTTGGGTAAGGGAGAAAGACCATGAGTGACAGGAAGGCAGGGAGAGAGGGAAAGAGAGAGATCCGACAGCAGACATAGCGGGGAGAGATCATGATGGGAGACAATGAGACAGAGAGAAAAAAGACAGGCAGATGGGGAGATAGGATAACAGGAAAAAACAGAAAAATCAGAAGTACACAGAAGCAGAGAACAGCCAGGAAGAGGGGTGGGGGAAGTGACAGAGACAGAGACAGAAGAAAACAGTGAGTGTCTGTGCCTTGCCTCTCTGTCTGGCAAATTCCACTCTGGGGAGGCAACCCAATGTCACCCACCACCCTGGCTTCCCAGCCTCCCCCAAGTTGCCCCCTCCCCCATTTCCCACTGCCCTTTGCCCATTATAAGGGTCTTCCCACTGTTCTGTAAGAATGTTTTCGTATCTCTCCTACTGGCCCGAAAGGATAGAGATCCCCTTATTGATCTGTTACCCCCAGTCTTTGAGGTCAACCCTCAATAAATGCTCGTTGAATGAATTAATGAATGAATGAATGCTAAGAGCAGAGGCACGGGCGGGAACTACCAGGAGAGGGAAGAGGCTTAAGGGCAGTGGGCGGGGCTCAGGCTCAGGAATGCCGGGGTCTCACCCGCGTCCTGTCCGTCCAGGTCGTGTCCCAGTGCGGCTGCCTTCATCCTGGCC